TTTTTAATGGAGAGCCATGGCCATCAAAATCTGAGTCGGACTCATGAATTGTAGATTCTGAAAATGAACTTAATGATTCTTCTGAGTTTGATCCACTACCTCTTGCTACACCAAATTCAATTTCTTTTACTTGTTCTAAATGAGATTTGGAACAAAAACTGTAGAACTCTAAATGGAGTATTTCTTTAAACATATTATGATTCTTGTCTTCAACAAACTTTAACTTGAAACGAGGATCAAGCATCATCGCGATTTTTAAATCAACATTATCCTTGTATTTTTGAAAACGACAGTTAAAATCTTTCTTAAGTTCATCAACAACAGTTTTTATTTCAGTTGCCGTGTCACAAGCGTAGTCTAGAAACTTTTCCATTGCATAGATAAATGGTATAATCTCTGATATACATGCCGTTTCTTTACTCATGTCTTTTGTAGTACTTTCGAAGTGTTTTAATATGCATACAAGCATTTCAGCAAGTTGCCATTGATTTTCCGTAGGATTTTTTGCATTTGCTTGATTTCTGGTAATGCAATACAATGTAATAGCTTTTTTCTGCTCAATGAACCTTTCAAGCATATAGTATGTCGAATTCCATCTTGTGGAAACATCTTGAATTATGTTATGCTCTGGCAATTTTAGTTGATAAATTTTTTGAATTTCTTTGAATTTCCTTTAGTTTAGCCACAGCACTAGATGAGTGGTGGAAATGTCCTGCTAATGCTCGAAAAACAGCTATTGTATCACTTGCTGTTCTTTGTTCTCTAAAAATCTTTTTCTGAATACAAAGTTGTAAAGTATGTATCAGACATGGAAGATGTTTATCGCCTAAATTTGACTCTTTAATGGCAGCCATTACATTGGCTGCATTATCAGTTAAAACTGCATGAATTTTTTCATGGGGAATTTCCCATGATTGTAGCGCTTCATTTATGAATTTACTTATATTGTGCCCTGTGTGCAACTCAGGGAAGTGTGTAACTTGTAAGATGAAATGTTTAACTGTAAACTCATGCGTTACAAATTTAGCTGTTAAACTGTAATACGATTGAATTGTGTGCTGACAGGTCCAACCATCACTAGTTAAACTTAAGAAATCTGCTTGATCAAGCTCATATTTTACTTTAGCTTTTATGGTTTCATACATCAGTGGAATGACTTTAGTGGAGAAATACTTTCGACTAGGTATTGTATAGTTTGGAGCTAAATTCTTTAAAAGTCGGATAAAACCTTTATCTTCAACAATACAGTATGGCTGCAAGTCTAAACATATCATTTCTCCAATAAGCTTGGTAATAGCTTGAGCCTTAGGATTATCAAGTTGCCACAATTCTTTTCTTTGAAAAATCTCCCGCAGTGAGACCTGAAACAAATTCAACGAATTAAAAAAATTACTTAGCAACTTGTAACTAACAATGGCCAGCGACGGATCTAAGTGGCGGATAGAGGTATGTATCTTTCCCCCCTCACCAGTACATTTATTATAATATTATAAGCTTACATAAGTTAAGTTAACATTTTTCTATACAAAAGATAATTTTTCGACAAGACATGCCCCCATCCAGTCACAAAATCATGAATACTGAATAGTAAATGAATTCAGCTACAGTTAGCTGAGTTACCTGTGTCGATGCTTTTTGAAAAAAGGCAATTGTGTTATTAGACACACGCGAGCTTCCCTGCGTTTCATCTGTGGCAGTGCTGGTAATGATTTGCACTGATTCAGCAGAGCTTGTTCTATCTGAGCATATTGTTCGAGTAGTGCAAAGTTGTTTTATAGACTTTTCATTTGGATTTGGTAAAGATTCGTGGTTAATAATTTTCTTCTGAGAAAGAATCATGCTATGTATATTGTAATGTACTTTTTTCAGATGGTTTTGTAAATTTGTTGTTGACATGTTGTGTGCGTCTTTACTTCCTCTAGACAAAATCTTCTTGCAAAGTATGCAGATGGCTTTGCCAACATCTTCATCACTCACTTTAAAAATAATTCCATAAGGGATTTTTACTTCGCGATGAGGTAGCCATAATGCGCTAATGGATAACTTAAAGTTATAATAACAATTCTGAAAATTGAAATAGAAAGTTTAATTATTTTCTTACCTTTAATAATATTTATTGAAATAAACAATATTCGTTCAATTTTTTGATTCAAATATTATTTGAATTAAAAAAAATCGAAGTCGTAAATAACCAATTAACCTATATTTGTAGAGCAGGTATATTTACTTTTACTAATGATCCAGCGTACAAAATTAAAAACAAACGCAATTGACTTACATTTCAAATTTTCTGTGTAGTGTCTTTTCTGTGTAGTGTCTTTCTGTGTAGTGTCTTTCTGCGTTCTGTCTGTGACTTAGTAAAACAAACTTTCTGAATAAAAATTGTTTCGTGCGTTAAAATTAACTTATTGTATAGGTTTTTAAAAATTTCGAGAATAGTTAACTCTCTTAACTCTCGTGCCCTATGTTTTAGTTACATCTAAGTAATTTTAAATGAAGATTTATTTCCAGGTTTAATTTTTAATTTTAATTTAATATTAAAAAATATATAATTTAACATAACTCGGATTTTAGAAGTTGATGCTAACTAATAACTAAATGCTAAAAAAATTAAATTTTAATAATTTTTCATTATTTTACTACCAACTAATGCATAAATAAATTTTATTGCTAAGCTCGAGTGATCATAACTAAGTATTAGGGTTATGGTATTTAATTATATAAAGTTTACTATAATGTTACAGTTTAAATCAGCTTATATTGAGTGATTATAAAAAAATCAATGTGTTTCATTAAGTAACTTTACTTTCTATCCGCTACCGTGCCGTTTTTAGCCGCCCTACACGCGGCCTTGCCACCTCCAAAAGCCGTTGCTGGATTCATTTAATCTTCGCAACTGTATAAATCAGAGGCTTATTTAAATTTCTCAGAAGAAGAAAAGAAAAAGAAGAATTTTGAACGTTCAACTACGTTTTATTCGGAAAACAGACAACGTGTGAACGTTTAAAAAATGTCTTCCTCAGTCAAATGCCAGCTTAGTAATGTCCATTTTTTTGCCGAAGCCAATGATTCGGCAAAAAACGCCCATGGCTTCGGCCGAACCGAAGCTTCGGCAAAATTGCCGAAGCCGAAGCCGAAGCTTCGGTACATCCCTAATATATATATATATATATATATATATATATATATATATATAATATATATATATATATATATATATATATATATATATATATATATATATATATATATATATATATATGTATATACATATATATATATATATATATATATATATATATATATATATATATATATATTAACATAAACAAAGAGAAAAAAACGTTCAGAGGACAAGAAATAAAGGGGAGCATAAACATTTATAAATCCTAAAGTACTTTTTTTTTTCAAATTTATATTTGATTTTGTACATATATGCATTTGTAAACATCATATATATATATATATATATATATATATATATATATATATATATATATATATATATATATATATATATATATATATATATATATATATATATATATATATATAAACTACATGCAACGTTTCAGTATGAATTCATCACTTAAAATGGCAGCACAAATGACAGCACAAACCTCTAAGATACAAAATGGTATATGTAGTAGATTAAGTGGTATTATCTTTATTAATATCTTCATTGTTTTTATTAACAATATTATTGTAATTCATTATTTACAAAATTAATTATTCTGATAAAATATTTACTATATGTAATATTATTAAATTACACTTAATTATTATTATATAATAATATATACAAAAATACTAAATCAAATACCTAGTTTACAAATTTCAACCACAATATCTGATAAGTTTTCTTCATTCAATGACATTATTATTTGTACTATAAATATAAATATAAGCAAAAAATGCTTTATTAGTAAACTTTTATGCATTTTTAACTCAAATAATGATTTAAAAAAACAATAAATAAGCTATAAAAAAGAATGATTTGGAAACCACAATTAAAATTATAATTGATTTGGTTTACACTAATTAAAAAGATAACAAAATAACACTCATATATGAACATTTATTGATTAAAGTTAATAACATATTTGTTTGAAAATAGTTTTTTTTATTGCTTTTAATGGAGTTTACAAAATTTAAAAACTTATTAATTTTTAAAATTTTGTAACAATATAAGAAAGAGTGGTAGTGATAGAAAATAAAGAACTATGAACTAATTAGTTATTTATTTACATAAAAATATTTTACAAATACTTTTATCAAATAAAAATAGATGTAAAAGTAAAATTTAGACAGAATTTTATTTGTCTGAATTACATCCACATTGTAAATGGCTCAATGTTAGATGGTCTGATCTGTATTAAATGATAATGATTGAAATTCTACAACTATAAAATAATTTATAATTAATTGATAGTTGTATAATTTCTATTTATACTAACTGATTAAATTAGTTATATAATTATTTCAACCTCAGGAACTAAACAATAAAAAAAAATTAATTTATTAAAAAAACATTTTTTAATATGAATAAAATGATTCTTTTAATAAAAATATAAAAGAATCAATACTAGTTTTTGTAGATTATAAGAAATAGCAAAAATAGAACTTAAAAACTTATATACAATTTTTATATACTTATATACACTTTTTTATGTTATTTCTGATTGAATTGACCGAGCCCTCTCTCTTTATTCATCAGCCAATATTGTTGTTGTTGGTGACTTTTATGCTCATCACACTGAATGGCTCTAGTGTTTCTGATCCTACTCAGTGCTTAGTTTCTCCACATTTACCCTTAGGTGCTTCTGATAATGGTTTGATCTCTCTAAACTATTATATCATTCTTCTTCACCATCTAGAATTCCCTATCACCATACCTCTTACAACTACCTTAAGCTGACTGGGACTCTTTCCGTGATTTTCTTTGTGATGGCCCTTGGGTAAAAATCTTTTGCCTTCCTGCTGACAAATGTGCTTTTTTCATAACTTTGTGGATTTAGGCTGGCATGGAATCTTTTATTCCCTGTCAACAATTCCAGGTTAAACCTCACTCTTCTCCATGGTTTTCCTCACATTTTACTACTGCAATTTCCAATTGAAACTTTTACTTCCATATCTATCAAAAAAAACTATTTTCCAGAAAACTGACTTCTGTTTATTACTGCTAGAAACCATTGTAAAAAGGTTTTGTCTAACGCAAAAGCCCGCTATTCTCAGGTCTTGCAATCTCGTATTTCATCTCAAAAATTTGGCTCTAGTAACTTTTGGAGGATCTTTAATAGTATCAATAATAAGACCAAATCTGTAATTCCACCTATCTTGTATGGTTTAGACTTTATCATCTCACCTAAAGAAAAAGCTGAAGTATTTGCTAAGATACCTGTTATAGTCTTGCAGAAGTGTTCTCCCAAGCTATATTTTCAAAACTTAGTGCTTATCAAAGTTTTGTTTTCCAGCCTGCTGGAAAGCGGCATCTGCTATTCTTATTTTCAAAAATTCTGGAGAGTGATCTGATTCGTCTAACAACCGTCCTATTAGTCTTCTTCCTATCATAAGCAAGGTTTTTGAATCTTTTATGAACAAACACTTGATCTCTCATCTTGAATCGAATAAGTTACTTTCTTATCATCAATATGGATTTCGAACTTCTCATTCTACAGCTGATTTGTTAACAGTAATAACCAATAGGTTTTATTGGGCATTAAATAAAGGTGGAGAGGTTAAAGCCATCAATCTTGAAATTTTTAAAGCTTTTGATATAGTTTGGCATGCTGGTCTTCTCCAAAAGCTTTCTTCTTGCAGTGTATCTGGTAACATATTTGTAGTATTGAAGTTGTTCTCAACGGACAGCACTTTTCTTCATATTTTGTCACTTTAGGGGTTCCTCAAGGTTTAATTCTTGGCCCTATACTTTTTTAAATTTATTTTAATGATCTTCCATATATTCTCACCTCAAGGTGAGATTGTTCGCTGATGATACTATCATTTATTCTTGTCATGATAAAAAGCTAACACTTTTTGTGCCATCTACTAAAATTCATTCTCATGTTACTTATTATTCAATTAAGTTTTATCCTTTTTCTGTGACTGTTTCTAAATGCTCCAAAAACTCTTATTCCTCTAGTTTTTTTTTTTTAAATTCGCTTCCTCCATCTTGCTTTCCTGATTCATATAATTTTCAATCTTTTAAGTTGTCTGTCAATCATTATCTTGCTCTACAATCTTTATCTTTTCCCTTCCAGTAACTTCCAACTATGATTAGTGGTTGCTTGCAGCCTTGTTGGAAGTAAAGTTGTTAAAAAAAAACGTAATAAAAAAGTGATAAGCATGAATTTGGATAAAAAAATTAATATAACATTACAATATCTTTAAATCAAACCAAAACAATTATGATATGTTGGACTAATAGACATGTAATAATTCAGACAGATATAATTTATATCTGTCTAAACTTTACTTTTACATCTACAGTTGTGGCCAAAAGTCTGTTGTATGCTAAAATACAACTGCATTTTGCATCATTTTGCTGTTATAAGCAAGAAAAAGTTAAAAAGTTTAAATGAACCAAAAAGCTGTTGTTTTTATTGCTTGAACTAATTGAGATTATCTTTTATTTAAAAAAAATAAAATAGTTTCATTTTTTTGTTTGTTTATGCTGTGTTCTTTGTTTACTTTAGATCAATAATTTCATACCAAAAATGGAATTTTCATCTAAAAAATGTGGTCAGATTAATGCATTAGTTAACTTGGGTTTAACACAAGTAGCTGCACCACAACATCTTAATGTTTCCCAGCAAGTTGGCAAGAGACAGGATGCCCTAAGGTTACAACTCCTGATACAGATTGAGCAATAAAACGATACGTGTTGAAGAATCCAATGATATCATCCTCTGCCGTAGCAAGTCAACTATCACAGTAACTTAGTGAAAGAACCATTCAACAACGTTTAAGTGACACTTTTAATCTAAAAGCGTACCAACCTGCACCAAAAACGCTGTTATCAAAGAACGTTTGTGATGGCTTAATTTTTTGCAGGAAAATCAAACATTACAATTGTGAAATATGGAATGAAGTAATGTTTAGTGACGAAAGTAACATAAAATTGTTTTTTGCAGCACCAAGATATGTTCACCGTCCAGCCAATAAAAGATTTGATTCAAAGTTTTGCATACAAACTGTTAAACATGCAGCATACTTGATGGTATGGGGCAGCTTCTCAGCGTCTGGGTTAGGCTCCCTCTACTTTCTTGAACAAAATACCACTACGAATACACCAAAATATATTACCATACTGGATGAAAAACTTTTGATAGTTATGCAGATTCACAACTGCAAACTGTTTATGCTCCCTGCCATGAAACTAAAGATTGATAAAGATGAATTGATATAATGAAACTAAAGATTGATAAATAGAAACCATCAAATTTAGATGATCTTCGTGCCATCATTACATGTGTGTGGTGCACAGACATAACGTTGATGTTTATAAAAATCTTGTAAATTCTATACCTGCAAGAATCGCTGAAGCAATCAAGAATAAGGGGCGTAACAGATATTAGTGATATGTATTCATATCTGAATACATATCACCATATTCTGCCGCTATTGGTTTGAACTTGATTCAAGTTTGCTTCTTGCATTCCACCCAGACTTGGCCATTCAAACTTAACATAACGTCAACGTGGACGTCCGAAATCGGACATACAAACTTTGTTGTATCATAAACTATAGCAAAACAAATGTTTTAAATTAAGCATACTTTATTTTCATAATTTAAAATTTACAATGACAAAAAATGGTCAACTCGTTAATAAAAAATTTTAAAGGTTAGCGTAGATGTAATGTGTACTGATGTGTGATGGCTACAGACGACTAGCACTAGCAGTATCGTAATCATCAGAGTTGTTTTCTATCTCACTTATTTCACAATGACTTGACGAAACTCAAATTTTTTGGCCCCTCTTTCAGGAGCATCCCGCCCTCCAGCACGTCTAAGGAATACTTTAGCCAGGATTTTATGCTTTGTTCTATTTTGCCATCTGCTGCTTTCATAGTTTTGTGCAAATGAACAGCACCTAAAAAAAAAGAAACAAAAAGAACAATTTAACAAAATTGCTTAATTTTTAAAAATACACCAATACAACACACATTTATCTAAACAAGTTTGAATAAATCTTACCTTTAATGCAAACAATAATATTAAAGCCTTTGAAACCCATTTTTTGGCTTTGTCCAGCCGAATTTAGCTTTGATGCAAGTTCTTTTGTAAAAACTTTTGTTAAAATTTGATGTGCCATGCCAAAAACATCTGTGGCTCCAGTCACTCCTAGGTAGTTAACCTTCAAATTTAAAATTAATACAATTTTAATATCATAGACATACATATATACATTCACATATATATAATATATATAATAATATATATATAATAATATATATATATTATATATATGTATATATATATATATATATATATATATATATATATTCTTAGTTTCTCAATATAGAAGCTGTGTCTACACCGCTTCTATGTCGCAAAACTTATAATTGAGTTCCAGAAAAGTAGCAATTGCAATGGAAGACCATCTGGAAGTTACTTTTTTTACAAAACAATTAGTGATTTCAATGCATTAAAAATATTATTTTGCACCTGCACAATTTTAGCTCACTTTATGCTGTATAGTAAGGGTGTTCAGAAAAAAAAAAATTTAATTTGAAAAACCAAACCATCTAGATTTTTTTTTTTTTTTTTTTTAATTTTAATTCACCTCCTAAAGGCCAAGAAGGCCACTACAGACGAGGAGGCTACTTATTTGTGGTAACAACCCTCTCTCAACTCTATAAGTTAATAACTCTATAAATCCGAAATACGAACATTGACGAACGAGGCCGCTGCGTGGAGAAACAAGTTGAGCGCGGTACTACCAAAGACGATTTGAAGCAAATATGTTTAAACTTATTCATAAAAAATGTTTGGAAAAAAAAGGACCCAAAAATGACACAGATTATTTAAAGTGTCTTGAGGGCATAAATTTTTTTTTTTTTTTTAATTATCTTTGCTTCCAACAAGGCTGCAAGCAACCACTAATTAGTGTTGGAAGTTACTGGAAGAGAAAAGATAAAGATTGTAGAGCAAGATAACGATTGACAGATGACTTAAAAGAATGAAAATTATATGAATCAGGAAAGCAAGATGAAGGAAGCAAATTCCAAAGAACTTATGTTCAAGGAAAAAAACTAGATGAATAAGACTTTTTGGAGCACTTAGGAACAGTAACAGAAAAAGGATGAGACTTGAATGAGAATTGAATGATGAGTAACACGAGAATGAACTTTAGTAGATAGCACACGAGACGCTAGCTCTTTTGAGCAATGCCCATTATAGTATTTGTAGAAAAGAGAAAGAGAAGCAACATTACAACGATGTGACAGAGGTTGAAGGTTAGCTGCAAGAGCAGGTCCAACTATGTTTACAATGCGTTTTTGCACCTTGTCTAAAAGAGAAAGGGCATCATTAGAAGATCTGCCCCAGATATGGCAACAGTATTCCATACAAGGCCAGATTCGAGATTTATAGAGATAGAGAATAGAATCCAGAGTAAGAAAGTGACGAGCTCGATAAAGAGAAGCAACTTTAGCAGATGCTAATTTTGCAACGGATTTGATATAAGGTTTCCAAGAAAGATCAGAAGTAAGAGTTAATCCTAGAAGATGAAAGGTAGGAGACTCATCGAGTACATTACCATTCATAAATATAGAAAGGTCTAAACTATTGCGATAACGATTGGCCGAAAAAAATTGAGTTTTATCTGAATTAAAGTTCACCAGCCACTGTGAGCCCCATGCTGTAGCAGAAGTGAGATCCTTTTCAAGCTCAGATGCCCCCTGCAAGCAATCAGAGGGAGTTGCCTTTTTATCATGACAAGAATAAATGGTAGTATCATCAGCGAACAATGCCACCTTAGATGTGAGAATATCTGGAAGATCATTAATGTAAATTAAAAAGAGCATAGGGCCAAGGATTGTACCTTGGGGAACCCCTAAGGTTACAGAATAAGAATAAGAGTGCTGTCCATCAAGGACAAGTTTTATACTACAATTGGAAAGAAAGGATTCAATAATCTTAAAGATGTTTCCAGATACACCGTAAGAAGAAAGCTTATGGAGGAGACCAGCATACCAAACTTTATCAAACGTTTTAGAAATGTCAAGAGCAATGGCTTTTGACATTTCTAAAAGGTTTGATAAAGTTTGGGCCTCCACCTTTATCTAATGCGCGATAAAACCTATATGGTTATTACTGATAGCAAATCAGCCTTAGAACGAGAAGATCGAAATCCATATTGATTATCAGAAAGTAGGTTATGAGATTCAAAATGAGAGATTAAGTGTTTGTTAATTAAAGATTCAAAAACCTTGCTTATGATAGGAAGAAGACTAATGGGACGGTAGTTAGATGAATCAAATCACTCTCCAGAATTTTTAAAAATAGGGATAACAGATGCTGCTTTCCAGCAGGCTGGAAAATAAGACTCTGATAAGCACTTGTTAAATAGTTTTGAAAGGATAGACAACAGCTCCGGAGAACACTTTTGCAAGACTATAACAGGTATGTTGTCCGGGCCGCAAGCTGTAGAAGAGTCTAAGCGGGAAATCACTTTAGATACAGAAGCTGGAGTGATACGAATGTCGAGCAATGGATCAACCTGTTTGACGGCTATATCAGGTAGAACGCAACTAGTGGCATCAAGAGATGATATTGATGAAAAGTTCTTGGCAAACAATTCAGCTTTGTCTTTAGGTGAGGTGACAAAGTCTGAACCATACAAAAGAGGTGGAGTTACAGACTTGCCCTTTTTATTGATACTATTAAAGATTCTCCAGAAGTCACGAGAGCCTAATTTTTGTGATGAAATACGAGATTTCAAATATTTACAATAAATTGTTTTTTCAGAGTTTAGATAAATATTAATTCTTTCTTCTAAAAAAACAGTATAATTTATATTTTAAATCGGCTAAAAAACCTGATGCGACGTTGTTTTTATAACCTTTTCCACAATTAAATTCAAACTTTGTTATTTAGATTCATAATATATTTTGCAAATGTATATATTCAAAATAAGAATAGAATTACTCATTTTATATATGTTTAATACTATAACCAAACAAAAGAATATGTTCTTAATATGTATATGTAAGTGCAATATTTGTAATTTTATAAGAAGCAATATGAATCACAAATTAAGATAAATTGTGTTGTATATATCATTTAACAAGTGAAATTAAACTATACAAAATATAGCAAATATTTAAATAATATATTAAGTATTTTTCCAGCTTTTATAATATTTACAAATATATTCTTTAGATTAATGATAATGATAAATTGCTTGAACTTGAAATAACTTGCAAGAAATATGTATAAAGGAAACAAAAAGTGCAAGTTTAAAAACAAATTTAAGTTAAGTTAATAAAAAAAGAAATTGTTGATTATTAAAGCAGCTAAACCAGAAGTTACAGGTAATTCCAAAGTTACAGAAGTTACAGGTAATTTCAAAGTTTGTAAGAAACCTAAACAATTTAAAGTATATATTTAAGATAAAGAATGATCTAAATCAGTGGTCGACACCATATATTCAAAGGAGCCCACTTGCAAAATTCTTGTTTTAGCTGCCGCCCACAGCAATAAATAAATTATATACAAAATATATTATATTAACAATATAATATAATAAAGTATAGAATTAGATTAAAGAACTAATAATTGTATTATTACTATGATAATTGTATCATTACAAAATACATACTTAAGAAAAAAAATACATAAAACAAAATTAAAAATTTGGTTAATATTTTGTTGTTGCAGCTAGCACAAGGTCATTCAAATGAGTGTCAATCAGTCTTGTTCTGTAAACATTTTTTATAATTTTTTTGGCTGAGAATGTTTGTTCGCATTGGTAACTAGTGCCATACATACAGATAAGTCTATTTGCATATTTTTTAAGAACTGGAAAACGTTCCGTCATGATATCATGTCAGAAAAGAATTTAATTTTCACCAAAAATGCCATCTTCATCTTTTTTTGGTGCCTTTCTTCTCAACTCGTCATCACATTGAAAATTAGCACTTTCTTTTCTTTTAATATTTTTAACAATTTGTCATAAATGTCTTGTCCAGTTGTAGCCAGTGGTTCAATTCCAATCAGTTCTTCAAATAAACAACAATTCGTAGTGATAAAACGTGCATAATACCGACAAGGTCAGTAGACTCATCGAGAGCAATACTCACGAATTCAGCTTCTGACAGATTGTTTGACATTTGTTCATAAACATTAACTACCATTTTCTCAACTTTTCAAGTAACTGCGCATACTTTGAAATTTGTCATGAATCTTTTTATTATTTTGATGCTTCAATCATGCATTCTTTGATTATTTCAACATCAGTAAATGGTTTCAGGTTTTTTGCTAATATCCATGACACCATATTAGAGGCACGAGTTTCACAATTAACACTGCTAGCATTTTTTGAAACAAATTTTTCTGTTTTTCTAAACAGTTTTTCATTGAGTCGTATTTCGTTTTTCTGGTTGTTGAATCTAGAGGATATTTAGTATTGTACAATTCATGTTTTAATAAGAAATGACGTTCAAGCTTGGTTCCTTTTAATTCACTAACAGTCTCATTAAATATTAAACATAGAGCATTGTTACTTGGTCCCTCAGTGAAGAAATAAATCAGCTCCCATTTTTCATTCCATCGACGTGCATATTTACGCTTAGTTTCATGTTTTCCTGACATATCTTTGCAAGTTAATGTGTGTATTTAGCAGAGTTGCAACTTCTGAGTAAAGCATTCAAACTCGATAGCTGGTTACTCAATAACTGGTAATACTCAACAAATTTTTTGCTATTGAATATCCAAATATTGTGTCTTAAATAACTGGCTGTTTAAAAAATTAAAGATTTGCCGACTATTTACTTTATAATACTTATTTCGTAAAAAATCTAAATAATATAGTATTTCTATTTAAGAAAAGTACGAAAAACATCCTAAAGACGATAATTTTTACCACTGGTGTATTTGTTATGAAATAGTTTTTATAGCGTTAAATTAATTAAATTATGTTATTTAAGTTATTTCATCTGAACAAATTTGAATGTTATAATTATTTTCGACGTGCTTTTCGAATGTTTTTATTTTTGTAAAGTCATTTGTTTAGCATGACTTAACTTTTAAGAATTAGGATTTTTTTTTATTTGTTAAAGTGCTACAGTGTTTTAGGACATTAAAAAAATATTTTTTGATATGACTAAAATGACAAGATCTGGTGAGTATTTTAAAAGGAGGCTTTAGAATTTTTACAGCCTGGAAAATAACTAAAAGGCCAACAACTACACTACTTTGTATATTATGCGATTGGGTGGCTTGGGACCTACAAATAATGTAGCGAAGGCCCACAATTGGGCCACGGCCCACAATTTGCCGACCCCTGATCTAAATTATCTCAATAAAATATAATGAACAAAAACAATTATGCATTTAGATATTTAACTTCCAACAGGCATGGATATTTTACAACACCTAGCATACCTGCAATCTATACTGCCTAAAACTACCAAAAAAATCAGTTTGGTTGTGAAAATTTGGATTGTAACTGTGTTTTAGCTAAGGTTGATAAATGTTAAACTTTGAGAACTTAAAAAAAGTTTTTTGGGTAGGCAAGCCAGAATTGAAGAACATTACTAAGACCAACAAAAAAAGACCTGACAAGGATAAGTGCGAAGACTTGATGTTTTTGGAAGATCAGGAAGGAGAAAGTTTATTCTTGGGACAGAAGATAAGAAATTTAGTATAAAGGTAAAACTTAAAAATTAAAAGTATTAAGTGATATTTTTCATATAAAACATTTTGTTATAATTAATATTATTTTATGCTTGAAGACAGCAGAGAGTAACAGAAAGAAAAATAGAACAAAGGATGCTCAATGCAACTAAGGCATAGAATAAACAAACTCATAAAAAAAAGCCGATAATTTAAAACAAATCGGATTGGTTGTTAGTGGGAAACCGAAAAACTTTTTCTTTATTGGTATTTAATATATGCAAACAAAGAATTCGAATTGAAAGTAATTTGTTTATAAAGTTTACCGCTTCGTTTTTTAATTGTTTTTAAATTTTTTAACGTTTTTTAATTGTTTACGCCAATAAGTCCCGAGTATTTCAAAAAAAGATACTAAATACCGAAAACAGTTTTTTAAATGGGGCTAAAAATTATGATTATTTATGCAAAAATGACTTTGGTAGAAAAATTAACACTACCATAGGTTATTTAAATCTAACGTGACATTATTGTTAAACATACTCATCTAGGTGTGGTATTGAAAATAGTAACTTCAATTTTCATTAAAAAAATGATTTTTCATGGATAATTTTTACAAATAATGTCTGATTAAAAATGCCAAGTTGCATTCATTGAAAACAAACACCAATACGTGCTTTTATGAAAAAATCAAATTCATAGACTTATCTATACCCAAGCCCCAAGGTACTTTATGTTAAAAATTACATATTTTCTAAATAAAACTACGCTTGACGATTTGTTATAGTCGCAATACTTTTACAAGATTATAATAGTGGTTAAAATAATCTTTCCATACATACCAAATATATCATACTTTTTGATGAAAAAACTTACATATATTGAACTGAAAAAACCTATATTTTTGTCCAAAAAAACGTGTACCAGGCCATAGTTGCATTGAGTGTGCGATCAACAAAATCTAATTACAAAATTGAACTCAATTCCTAATAGCTACTTTAAGTGAAGTTTCGCCAAATGTTTTGCAAAAAGTGCCATTTTAACGAAGCTGGTGTTGAAAAATAAATCAACAGCTTTTAGAAAAATGAAATTAGCAAATGAAAATATGTCAACCTTAGCAAAAGAGGATGTAAAAAATGCAATAAAAGCTTCTCCTTGTGTTATACAGTTTGATGGAAAAACTCTTTATGAAATTAATGCAGGAAAAAGGTTCAAAGTTGACAGACTGGCAGTTCTTGTGAACATTGAGGGTGAGATGCACCTACTAGGTGTTCCTCCTTTAACTTACTCTTCTGGTGAGGATCAATATACAATTATTATGAACCTACTAAAGGAATATAAACTTGAATCAAAAGTAGGGGGTCTTTGTTTTGATACTACTGCAAACAATACTTATCAATCTTGATCTGCAAAACAAACGAAGTTCATAATCATCACACCAGGAATACAGAAAATAGCAAGCTATACTATTCTTTTTTCAGCACAATCAAATATGGTAAGTTTTCCATAAAACAACAATGTATCTCTCAATGGAACCAGTGTATTCCTGCATTAACAAAAAAGTCTAAGAAAAAATATCCACTTGTTACGAATTTTTTACTGCTCAACAGAATTCAATTTAAAAATATATTGTTGGAGTGTATTTCTTTATAATTTCTCTCTGTACTATAGTTGTCTTGTGGTTTGATTTTTATTTTATTTATTATTTACCAATCTTATATTTTTTGCTTACTTCAGTTTCCTTTTTTTTTTTTTTTTCTTTCTATTTATTTTTTCGTGAAATTTTTATGTGTCACTCCATTGACTAGTTTGTAGCTATATGAGTGACACCTAACCAATTTATATTAATTTAAGATGAAATTTGTAAATTTTATTGATATGGTTGAATAAAAAAAAAAAAAAAAAAAAAAAAAAATACTGGGATCAAAATGGTTCAATCATAAAGATATCCAACAATTTAAATAAATAACAGCCTATTTGAACATCCTGATTTTAGTCATGCACCAAGCAATCTGTTTAACTGGAAGGAGGTGAGTATAAGTGAAAAGGCTGTGAAAAAAAAGTGAAGATTCTGTGAACTTTTGCAAAGTATATATAAAAAAAGCGTACATACTTTATGGACGATCCCTATTTAGAATTGAGTAAGGTGTCAAAGGCCCCAAACTTTGATATTAAAGCTATCCATCAGATGCATCAGAATTAAGAAATATTTGTCTAAAAAAAAACAGATTAGATTGATATCAGTTGACAGAGTTTGCTCTGCTTTCAGGATTTTTGGGAAAAGCTCTACTAGTCTTACCAAAAAAAAAATTATCTGATAGTCTTTCCTCCTTAGCAAATAAACAAAACACAAACAAACAAAAAAAGATAAACTATAGAAGAAACTTTTTAAATATTTAAAATATTTAAAAACTTTTTAAATATTTAAAATCTTTTTTTTTTGATGTGATAAGTAATATTGAATTCTGATATGCAAAAACCATGTATTAGATACAAAATCAACATTTTCTGTAAATTTAAAAAAAACCTTTTCATTTCTTGATTGTTAATGATTTTTTTTAAAGACCACTTGATAACAGTGTATTTTCTAATGATGTAAGGTACTTTGGCACATGTTTGATTTTTTTAGAATATCATTGATACTGCACATAAGGAACATTTTTTGCAATAAAATCTCCAAATTTTGCAAAAAAAGTAAAAAAAATGCGAAGTGTGGTTTTTGAAGACATTAAATAAATAATAAATTGTAGTCATAACTTAAGGAATATTTTATTTTATTCTGATTAAAATATTACAAATACTAAATGTACATAAAATGAGTAATTCTATTCTTATTTTGAATATATATATTTGCTAACTGGATTATGAATCTAAATAACAAAATTTGAATTTAATTGTTGAAAAAGGTTAATAACAACACAACGCCACATAATAAACATTTTTTAGCCGAGTTAAAATGTAAATTATACTGTTTTTTAAGAAGAAAGAAAAAAACTATACTTTTTAAACCAAAAATACATATATTTATCTAAACCCTGAAAAAAAAATTATTATAAATATTTATGCTAGCCCTACCTTGCTTTTGGTCCTTTTTTTCTAAACATGTGCTTTGAGGGCAAGAAAAAAGTGGTTCAATGGCGCTGAAATTTTTTATGAGTAAGTTTAAACATATTTGCTTTAAATCTAGACGGTTTTGTTTTTCAAATTCTAAAATTTTTTTTTCTGAACACACCTACTGTATAGCAGCTAGCTTAGAGAGAATTTAAGACAAAGCTAAATTAGATGCTAAATATAAAGAAATAGCAAACAACAACTGCGGATAATTTATTTTTTAGTGCAAAAAAAAAACTTAAAAAAAAAAAATATATAAATTTTCATAAAAAATAAAAAAACAAAAAAATTCATAAGTATTATATCTAGTGTCATATTAATTTACATGTACATAAAATAAACTTACATGATGTTCCTGTAGACAAGTTGTTAGATTGTGATGTTGTAGATCTATTTTTTGTTGTTAATGTTTTTGTTGACATAAGACTCTGTGATTTTACACTGTTAAATTTTTCAAAAACTTTTTTGATCACTGAAAAAGCAAATTTCAGTTTTAACTCATTATCAAAAGCTGTTTACATAATTTTAATCAGGTTTTTATAACTGAAATTACAAATAAACTTATTAATTTTGGTAGAAATCCATATTGATAATAAAGTAATCAACGAATTATTAATAGTAAAAAACAATATTATTATAACATATATATATATATATATATTTATATATATATATATATATATATATATATATATATATATATATATATATATATATATATATATATATATAATATATATATATATATTAAAATTATATTAAATATATTAAAATATGTTAAACAATATTATTATTATATATATATATATATATATATATATATATATATATATATTATATATATATATATATATATATATATATATATATATAATATATATATATATATATATATATATATATATATATATATGTATGTATATATATATATATATATATATATATATATATTTATATATATTTATATATATATATATAATATATATATATATATATATATATATATATATATATATATATATATATATATATGTATAAGAAGACGGCTAAACTATGAAAAAAATGTGATTTGATATTAACATAAAGACAACTCTAGTATACTTTTAACCATAATTTGACTAAAATGCACTGTTATTGGAAATAAATAGTTTGCAATGGCACCATTTTGTTCCAATCAAATTGATTTCCTAATTAGCAACACTTTCATTACTTAATCGGAACAGGTTGCTTCTTTTGAATAAAACACCAATAAGATCAACAACAATCAATTAAAATGACATTAACCTTTACAGAGATAATTTAAACAAGTCATTGAATTTTATAATAAATTATTATTTTTAAATCAATTTTTAAAAAAAATTTACAAAATCAGTGCAATCATAAATATATTTAAAAACTTTACTTTTTTTGAAACATTAATCTAAAAAAAGATAACTAAAGAATGAGACTTTTAAATAATTAATTCTTTAATTTGAGACTTTTATTTATACTTAATTTCTTATAACTATACGATTATAAACATATTATTTCGACATTCTGATAAAATTCTCATAAAACAGGTCAATCATATCTCTACAGTTTAAATATCTGAAGTTGCATAACAATAAAATGTAAAAAATATATAAAGTTTCTTGGTGTTCAAGTAGACAAAAATTTATCATAGAGAGATCATATTGGGCACATTGATTTAAAAATATCATCTGCACAGAGATTGTCCTTATTTATAATATATATATATTTTTTTAAATTTGTTATTTAGGTACCCCAAGAAGTCCTAACGGTCTTCTCACAGAGCACCGCGGAAGTGCATTTAACCAGGAAGTTCACGCCTCCTTCCTTACCATGACGCTAAATATGTCCAAAGCTCGTTTTGAACCTGGATCTCCTGCTTATAAAGCATACAATCTAACCACTGCGCCACGGCCGCACAATATTTGGCATAACTTTATTGGGAATCAAGAAGCTCGTTTTGATCAGTTTGGAAAATTAAAAGGTTTAAATAGAGATAAGCGCTAGAAAAAGAATGAGCTAAAACAAAGTGAAGTTACATTATATTTTTAAACATATTAGTTGAGGTTGAGAGTTTATGTTCACTTATTTTAGTTTAAAAGACATCTTTGTCAGACTTTTGTCTCAGAAACCCTTAGCTATTCAAAGACGTCTAAATTTTATTACGCATAATACAGGTTTTTAAACGTCTTTAAAAAACGCTGAGAAGAGAAATGTTTTTTTTAAATATTGTTACTCTGTAGAAGTTACTGGTATATCTGTTACTTCAATAAAGTTTTCATTCTATTTATAAAATATTTTATTTTTTCTTCAAACCTAATATTTGTTTAACTTTCTACGGGTAATACTAATATGAAAACAATTTTTATTGTTTTTTGATTTATACTCGGGTAAAATATTCGTTTTCTTATTTGAATTTATAGTTAAAACATATATTCTATCATTACTTTATTTTATGGTTTAAAGTATCGCTTGTTTTTTAGAGAAGGCAGAGAAGCCAATAAAAACCATTGTAGTTGAAGATAGTGAAGGTATGTATTAAAACTTACCTATTCATATATAACTGTTAGCGTTTTATTTTAATTTGTTTTTATTCATTTTAATATTCTAGAGATAGTAAATACGAAAAAAAGCTACATAGTTGACGATACAGAAGCTATGTATTATTCAGTGGCGCACGAATTTAAACATCCCACTTGGTGAAAAAATATATGAAGAGTTTTAAAACATGTTATCTTCAATAAATGTAATAGTCGTTATTTTATTAGATAAAAGACTTATGCTTAAATTTTGATGAAATTATGCTTAAACTGTATTTCATAAATAGGTCACGGGTCACGGAATAATAAAATGTATCCATATTAAAAACCCTGTAAAAGTCTTAGGAGGCTGCAAGGTATACGATTATTCGTTACAAGACACTTTAAACGAATGTCTCAGTGACGAAGTTGTTAATATTTTTCTCAAAATATTAGTAAACAGTAAAGAAAAAGTATGATTAATTAATGTACTTCATAATAAAATTTTTGTACAAAAAAACCCTTATTGCATTTTTTTTTTAAATTTGCCTTCATTTAAATAAAATTTGAATTCTAAATATAAAACAATATATTGAATGCCATTCCATTTATTGATGCTTTGAAGAATCGAATCGAAGTACTGTAGCCAGCTGGGCTACTCTCACTGGATGAATTGCCAATTAAAACTGATTTAATACGAAGACGGCATAAGGTATTCAAAAACTTTTGTCTAAAAAAATTAATGATTCATTAATTTAATTAGAGTATTTATATATACACACACACACACACACACACACACACACACACACACACAAACACACACACACACACACACACACACACACACACACACATATATATATATATATATATTCATAGAAAGAGCTTTCAACAAGATATGCTAATATGCTGTATGGTGGAAAAATTTCATTGGACGCTTGCAGTATGTAAAATAGTATAATTGTTTTTTGAAAAAGTTTATTTCTTCAAGTACAAAAAGTTTAACTTTTAGTGAAAGGTTAGATTCCCCATTTTTTTACAGGGAACCTAACTTTGAACCTGATTTTGAAAATCACTTGTGTTTTAGATAATCAAACCAGGTAATAAAACAATTAACTCTATGGACCCTATGGGAGAACAGACAAATGATATTATTATTATTAGATATTCCTATGTCAAAATTTGTATTTACATCTTTTATAATTTTTTTACAATTATACAATAGTTGTTACTTACAACAAAGATATGGTGTTTCAGAAAAGTTTGAAATATTAACATTACCACATGCCATACAAGCTGAAGGTATAACATTTGGAGTATTCTGCCTTAAGGTAACTTTAAGAGTCTTAACTGTAATGGATATAAATATATATATATATATATACATACTTTAAGCTTACATACTTTAGTTTGCTGAAAGTTATACAAATGGAGAAGTATTGGTGCGTGTCTTTCCACATGAAGAAGTTAATGCATACAGAAAGAGAGATAAAGGAGGTTTGTGAGATTCTTTAGAGGACTGAAAATGTTTATACTACTTCAATGTTAAATGATATCTATAAAAAAGACAAAAAAAAAATAATGAAAAATTAAATCAATAGGTTAGAAGAGTTGGCAGAATAGTTTGTGTCGCATTTGTGGAAGTGAAATTGGTCCAAAAACTAGAAAAAATCAAAAAAAAAATTAAATGAGTAATAAAATATATTTTAATTATTTTTTAATAAAAATTTCAGATAGAAAAAAATACTTTAAATATTCAAATAGGAAAATGTTCATTAAATATTTATTTTTAGATCAAATGTGATATATGCATTTAAATCGATGGTACTGTATGACATGCATTGTTTTTAGAAATGAAACTTTATTTTGTTGTGCACATATTTATATACGAATGTATTAAATATATATATTAAATAATAAATGAAACTTTGAAATTGCAGTCATTTCTTTTTCTTCAAAATTTTGTCATAAATTAAACCAATTTAAATGTTTATGCCCTTAAAGATAAAAAAAGGTGAAATTTTTTTTTTCCTAGTTTTAGTGACTTCTTGTATTGTTATAATACTTAAACTTGTCGGAAGCAATACATATGAATTGATTGAACAATAATACATTTTTAATTTGTTAGTTCAATTAAATCTTAAAAAAAATGAAAAAAGACTGTTTGGGTAATCTCTGCACATTTTGCAAATAACAGCTAAAATTCTAAATTAAAATACCAAATCTCCCTATGCAGGCTTCTTAAATATTCCCCAATATTACATCCCTATGTATATTATTAAAATATTACATCCCCTAAGTAATTCATAAAATTTTTCAAATGAGTAGTAATTGCTATCTTGAATATCACATCCATCACTTGTAAATTATGTTTGTACTATAAAAAGAAACTAAAATTTTTACTTAAAATATCACAACCCCCCCCCCCCTATGTATACTTCTAAAATAATAGATCCTCATAAGAATTTTTCTACAATATTTCAAGCAATTTATATTTGGTACTTAAAATATCACATCTCCCCTGTCTCTGCATATGTCACAAAAAGAAACTGGAATTCTTACTTAAAACATCGCATCCCCTCTATGTTTACCTTTAAAATATTAAATCCCCCTAAGTAAGTTACAAAATATTTTAAACGATTAGTATTTGGTACCTACAATATTACATTCATCACTTGTAAGTTCTGTATGTACCGCAAAAAGAAACTTAAATTCTTACTGAAAATATTACATCCCCTTCAAGTTTACTTATAAAATATTACATCCCCCTAAGTAATTCATACAATATTTCAAACAATTAATATTTGCTTTTTAAAGTATCACATCCCTTCTATGTTTACCTTTAAAATATTACATCCCCCTAAGTAATTCATACAATATTTCAATTGATTAGTATTTGATACCTAGAATATCACATCCCCCTGTAGATTCTATGTATATGTCACAAAAAAAACTGAAATTCTTACTTTAAATATCACATCCCCCCTAATGTATACTTCTAAAATATTAAATCCCCCTAAA